CACAAGCCCAGGGATGTTGCTGCTGAGGGACTACGGCTATTCTCAGTTCAGTTACACTATTCTGGGCCCAAACACACTGAACACTTTCTGACAGTTTATCCATATCCTGGAGGGGAAATAATACTGCAAAGGAGAAGAAAAAGCTCATTGTCAGTTCTATGCTATTACCTACAGAGTGCCTGGCACATAGTAGGTGCTTAATAGTAAATGCTCATTGACTAATTGAATTAATTTCTTAGCCTTCTTAGGTAAAGGTTCAAATGCTAGAGTTGAAAGAGACCATGGGGATTTAGTTCAATCTGCTTATTATAAAAATAAGGACACTGAGGCCCAGGGAAGTTGGGACTTATTCAAACTTTATAGCTAATTAATGGCCAGAGAGACACAGAACTCAGGTACGCTTATTTCCAGTCTAATATTCTTTCTATTTAGTAGACTGCTTTCTAATGCTTTATAGAATCATTTAATGGTGTTAATTTTTTCCCCCTTATCCCGATTTTTCCTTTTTGTTTCTCTCACAGATTATATTGAGGGCATTACTACCATTTTAACACAATGGCGCACCCACATATGCCCAGCTGTACATTGGATGGGGATGCCCACCGATAACAGACTTCCAACATAATGAGTGTGACCTATTTTTGCTTCCCAATCTCAGTAATTACAAAGGCAGTAGGCCGGTAGGAAATATTCATAAATGGCAAAAGCTATACTCTATACATTTATGTTAAACATGTCAAACCTGATTGAAATCATGCCTGCCAGCTACTCCACAAACACACTTTTCTCTAACAATTTCCTAGATCTCTCCAGCCCATTAATACCTTCTTTAGCAGCAATCTACCATGGATTTGAATCAGGGACACTCCATTGCACTAATTGTTCCATTAGGTGAGCATCCGGGCTTTAAAAAAAAAAAAATTAATAAAATAAAAGTAAAATCCCTTTAGGCCGTTTCTCCAGAAATAGCACAAACGATAACCCAAGTTAGGATAAAAACAACAAACTAAACAACAGAACAGAACTGTTGAAAAATCTCAGTGTCATTAAGCTGGATTCTTTCCTGTTTCCCTTTTTGAACCACCACATCATTTCCCCCACCCAGGTTTTCTTGTCTCAAATGAACCTCATTAGGTCCATCGTGGGGCTCTTCGGGTGAAAACCAAAACAGTTAAGAGTGTACAAAGATAATCATTTTGCTCTCACTTTTTTTTTCAGTTCCATTTGCTCTCTAGTTATTGGTGATAAAGCATCATTTTAATTATCTGTGTGTAGTTTGTATCAATTAATAATTGATTGGCTAATTACTATGATAATTGTTATTCATTTGTTGTCACCAGGGGTTTTTCAATCTACTACTCACATACACAAATCTACTCTGCGGAAAGATCAAGGAGCTATTTTTACATCTCAACTAGCAAATAAGGGGGGGGGGGGCGAAGTTTGCTAGAGAAAATGGCTGCACACAAAGGAAGGAAGATGCTTCTCTCTAAAAGCATTTCCAGACACTTGGCTCGCCTGTGGAAATGCTCCATACTTTCTATTAACTTTGCTTGTAGTGAGAACAAAGGGGAGCGACCATTCATATCAAGCTTACTATGTGTCACTACTATTGTTATTTCTAAACTTCACGTTTTTAGATTTTAAGCAGCTTCGCTGACAAAGAAGGTGACCTGAACAGATCTGATGAATTTTCAAGCCACCAGTGGATTATCAACAACTCCAGGGACTTGTCTTGAACTTCTTCTGTGCCTGCCCAGTACGGACAGCCTGTGCTTCCACCAAGGCCAACGTTGAGGCAGAACAAATTAGATTAGAGCTTAGTCAGACCTTTCTCAGGGGAAGGGATAGGTCCTTGAGAGGGACAGGTTACACAACAGTTTATAGTAGGTGAAAGGGCAAAAGGGATCTCACTCACCCTCTGGGAACTGGCCGGCCTTCACCTGATTCCTGATAGGCACATCAGATGCCTTGATCCATGTGTTAAGATATTTTGACTCATGGTTAGCCTACAGCAAATGTGGTTAACTTGGGTCTGCCTCATCTCTAGACTCAGGCCCACAATTACACTAAAAATCGGGATTCTGTGTTCAAGAATATTAAGAATCATTACGTTGGTTTATTCTCCACTTGTAAACAAGACCATGCCTTAACCAAATCACCTTCTGAGGACTGACATGCTTTCCTAGGAAAAGTATTCTCATCCTCTGCTTCTCTCTTCAAGCCCCCAGAACAACCTCTGATTCTGTATCTTAATCAGATAACCCTATTGTGCACTCCCTCATCTACCTGCAATCCATGTCACACCCATCCCTGCAGCCCACCCCCACCCCATAGTTCTTCCTTTGCCCTAGTCACTAGGAAAGAGGGGAAGAGAATTTTTATATATATATAAGCTTTTTATATAGTGCTTACTATATGCCAGGCACTGGGCTAAATGCTTTACAAATCTTACTTCATTTGATCCTCACAACAGCCCAGGATATTATTATCACCCCCATTTTGTAGTTGAGGAAACTGAGTCAAACAGAGGTTAAGTGAGTTGTCCAGGGTCACACAAATGTGTAAGGCTGGATTTGAACTGACATCTTCCTGACTCCAGGCCCAACGCTCAATCCAGCTCTCTCTAAAAAGGTGGTCCCTTTTCTATGCCTAGGCAAACCCCTCAACTTGTGCCTTTGATGTCATTTTCATCTATCTATCCTCTTACAGATTCTCATCTTCACTTTCATATCCTCAACTTTTTCCCATCTATAGACTTACTTCCTTCTCACTGCCTACAAACATGTCCGGCTCTCTTCCACAATTAAAAAACAAACCAACCAAAAATGCCCAACCCTTCGCTTGACCCTGTCACCCCCTCTGGTTACCGTTCTCTTTTTTCCCTTTCATGGTCCAACTCTTGGAAAGAGTCTGCCTACTTCTCTCACCCCTCATGATCTTTTATTTCAGTATAAACCTGACCGGGTCACTACCACACCTGAAAACTTTAAATGGCTTCCCGCGGCTTTTGGGACAAAATTACGAATCTCTTAGGTTCCTATCTACCTGTCCTATCCCCCCCTTTTTTTTGCACCATACCACCTCCTTACATACCTTAGCTTCCCTACATTTGACACTGTCTTCCATGTCCATGCATTTGGCCTAAGTCAACCCTGGGCCTGTAATGCACTACTCCATCGTTACCTCTTCCTCTTAGGACCCTTATCTTTTTCAAGGCTTAACTCAGGTACCACCCTACTCACGAGGCTTCTCCTGATGCCTAATTGTCAGTATTCTTCCTCTTTCCAAATTAGTTTATGCTTACTTATCTCTGCACAAGTTATATTTTCTTCCCCAGTAGAATGTTTCTTTTCTTTTTTGTCTTTATATCCCCGTATAAGGAATGTCTTGCTTAACAGCACTGGAGGTGAAGAAATGCTTACTGAATGGAATGAGTGATTTCCCTATTTCTGAAAATACTCTGGGTTCTAGATGGTTATAGTTCAAGCCCTAGTAACCTGGCTTTTGATCCCAACCACCATCTCCATGATGGCCAGTGATCCAGAGGCAAAATCCAATAGTTTTTTTTTTTTTTTTCTCAGTGCTCATCCTTTCCAGCTACAACCGTTGGACTTGGCAAGGAGCCCTTCTGCCATCCCCTTACCATCCGTGACAACGCCCTCTCTTGGCTCTCCCTACTCTCCAGCCCGAGCTCCCCTTGTCAGTCTTTTTCGCTGGATCATCATTCACATGCGTGTCCTTGGAGGCTCTTCTATGTATCTCTGTGATCTCATCAGTGCTCCTGGGTTCAAATATCATTCCACAAATGACTCCAAAATCTCTATTCCCTAACCTATTTTCTCTCCGGAACTCCAGTTCCACGTTACCAACTTCTGGCCAGATATCATACCTTGAAAATTCCGATTACATAAAACGCCTAACTTAATTTTGTTTTATAATTTCAAGCTGTTTAATTCTTTAGAGCAGACCCAGAAGTGTGGCGTACAACTAGCTACAACAGGTTCCTTTCAGACTGCGTTGCCCTTCATATTTCTCTTTTCGGGGTTAAATAGCCCACGATCCCTGCAGCCTTTTCTCATAGGCAGTATTTTCCAAGCCTTCATTCATTTTCATTGTTCTTTTCTGGACCCTCTCCAAGTTTCTGTATCTTGTTTAAATGGTGAAGCCCAAGAATGAACATGATTTAAGTATAGTCCTGCCTGGAAGTGAAGCAAAGTCCTGACCAATGCTGGCTAAGAAAGCTGATTTTTTTTTTTTTTAATCTCAGGGCATTACAATATTAACAATGGTGTGCAATATGAATTAGGCTGACCAAATGAAAGTTTCTTTTTTTTTTTTGGCTTGACACATTTCCTTTTGTTACTATGGTGGCTTTTTTTTTTAAATTTAAAAGCAACTTATCAGCTTCTGCCGTTCCCCCTTTCCTCTGAAAATACCTTTCTTCCTCTCAGAATGTAATGTTTCTCCGGAGTTTTGCCTTCTTTTTTTCGCAGGACAGAGATGCAGCTTTGATACTTGAGTTTCTCCAGGAAAAGTCTTCACTCTCCTCTCTTAGGCTTAACCTTATCACCTCGGCTTCATCTGGCACCTCAAATTGACAGTGTGGGGCCACGAGGCATTCATTCCGCAAATATTTCATCAACAAACCTTTACTATGCCCTTCTGGGTGAAAAGTACTATATACCCTATCCTAAGCCTAGTATCAACTCTCTTTTCAAATCTTGTAAAGAGGTAAAGAAGAATAAAGATCTTTACTGTTAGCTCAATATCAGGAGTATTAACAAAGAAAAACTGAAGAGCAGAAGTGACCTCACATAAAAATTTGAATATTAATATAAAGATATGTATATTTATATAAATGCATTTATGCATACATATATGTATTTAATACAGTGTCAATTCAGTTTATCTCTGACAACTCAACAAATTCCGGATTACCTGTTTTCTCAGTTACTATATAGTATGGGATTCAGGTTCAAAGGGCAGCCAAAACCTACCTGGCCACTTGCCCTGGTCTTTATCGCCTCCACTTTCTGGATCTTTAGTGAGCTCCTCTGGGTCAGCAGCTGTTTCACTGGGTCCTTCGGCATCTTCAATTGATTCTTCTGAAACAGAACAAAAAACACAAATGTCAATTGTTTTTTAAAGAGAAAACGAAGGTCTCTTAACAGCTATTCCAAAGAACTGATCAACAGCCAAATCAGAGATGCCAGTGATTCTGGCCCAAAATAGAGATGCCAGTGACTCTGGCCTGTTGTGCCCAATAGGCTGAAATGCACCAGGAGGTGTAAAAGGCTCAGCAGGACAGTTCTGACCAGAATTGTTTTCTATTTCAAAAGCAGTAAGGTACATTGGGATATAGCTGAAAAACAGGTACTCTCACATACATATGAAAAAAATATATTTTAACACAGATTTTAAGATATTTGAAGTGAGAAGAATCAAGGATGTCTACATTGCAACCCCTCGACACTCCATAATTAACAAGTAAAGCATTTATATTGGAAAACATAAAACTACCATAAGCCCATAGATTTTGAGCTTGAAGTGACCTCAGAGGTCACAAGGTCCAACAACATCATTTTATAACTGAGAAAACTGAGAGGTCCAGAGAAATAAAGTGATTGGCTCCAAGTCAACCAAGACGTACCAACAGTCAGAACTGGATCCGAGGTCCTTTGACCCCGCTCTACCACACGGCCTCTCATTTGGGCCATTTCTGATTTCTAATCCCTGCAAGCCTTTGGATTGACCCAGATCACGGATTCCTTACATGCTCCTCCGAGTTCTCTTTTCACATATGGGGCTGTGTGGGACTTTCAGACACACCTGCAGTTGGAGAGCCAGTTTCAGATTTTAATCAATGACAGTCATTCCAGAAATTGTTCCAAAAATCCACCTTTTGGCCTGCAAATAATCACTAGTAGTTAAACCACTACTAAACCCCTTGAAAAATAGGAATGAAAATTTTACCCAGATTTTTTTTGTCTTTTAAAAAGTCAGTTTCATACCCATCACTGGACGTAAAAAAAAAAACAAAAAAAACCTATTGTCTTTCCTGCCCACCTAATGTGAAGTGTTCTCTTCTGGGCAAGAAGGCAAATGGTCATTTCCAAGGATAAGTTAAAAAGCAATGTAGAGAAAGGTGCTGTTTTGTTATGGAGAAGGGTATACGTGGAAAAAATTCTGAAGCTTTGCCCCTAAAGAAAAGGAATGTGAGAAACCTATCTAGATGAAAAAACAAACCATGACAACAAAAAACCCCTCTACTTAACTCTTACTGAGTAATTTATCTTCTAAAACAAAAAGGCAATGACAATTAATTGCTGCCCCCATCACTTCTTTTGTTGTGGTCCCTTACAATTCTAGGCAAATGAGCAGGACCTGAATGGGTTTATCAATTCAGATCAAGACATCTATTGGTAGACTTCAGGGATTATGCCCTCCCAGGTTCTAGAGAGAAAATCTGGACGTTCCATTCATCTAACAGTGGAGTATGATGCTAATGGAGATGTTTAGATGACCTTTATGGCTGAAAGACATACAAATATGTATCTAAATCCAAAAGAATTGCTGGAAAATGGTATCTAATACAACATTTGGGGTTCCAGACCAATCAAAATATAGATCATTTCAATGCCTACTATTTTAACATGAATTTAAGGCCTTTTAACTTAGTTTTCAAATAAAGTAGATCTTAAATTTTAACTCACAAAGGTCATTTCTTTTTTTTAAGAAGAATAAGATTATTTCTAAATACGATTTTAAAAGTATGTTGAGATGAAATGAGAATCACTAGTTTGGAGACTAATTCCTCCTCGCTCTTCTTAAAAAGGCAATGGGAACCAAGAAGAAGGGGGCTGGATTGAGAATCAGAAAATTTACTTTGATTATCATTATAGCATTTATGTTATGCCCTTTGGGAACATGGTATTGAATGTGGTATTTCCTGTTTTTATCTCCAATTGCAATTCACCGAGCAAATCTTGGCATATAACTTTCTCATGTTTCAATTTTTTTTCCCGCTGTAATACTAAAGATAACCCAGATTTCTTTTTCTCTCATAGTCATAATGGAAAAGCAGAATAATTTGTTTGGTAAAATGCTTGGGAGAGTCATTTAGGAATAGGCAGATTCAATAAGATGGGACATAAGACAATGGAAAGGGCATCTGGCTGGGGGTTCTAGGTCTGGTTCTTGAATTTGGAAGCTGAATGAGCTTGAACAAGTTAATGGCACCATAAATTTATGGCTGGAGGAGAACTTAGTTGTCATCCAGCTGAACTTACTAGTTTATTTTATAGGTAAGGGGAAGTGACTTGCTCCATATCACATGAGTAGCTAGTTTCAAAGCCAAGATCTGAACCCTGGTCTTTCGACCTTAAATAGAGCATTCCCCTCTATTGCATCATTTTTCTTTCCTGGTTTTCTTTTTCTTTAAAATGGGGATCCTCTCACCTGACTGTCCTACTCACAGGGTTGGTGCTGTTGTAAGGATCAAATGAGAAAATGGATGTGAAAGGACTTTGAAAACTGTATGGCCCTATGTAAACAATGTGTAATAGGTTAAATATTAGTCATCATATACATATCAAGGGTTTAGCAAATGTTTGTTGATTGAATATGACATCATGTATATCATACACACACAAGTACACGCACCTTCGTATTGTCACTAACCCTCCTCCCAGCCAGACTGAGCTATATTCCTTTTATTTTGACTTTTCGTGAAGTGTCTGACGTCTGAATTGCAAAATTGATCTTCAAATAGTAAAAGATTTCTTCAATCAATACCATTCAATCTGTTCTATCCAAGTCAGCTAATTACCTTCATATGTGCTTACTGGTATCTTTAAGCACATTTATATATGCACGGATGAAAAATATTTGAAGTATTAACATGTCAGTCTCAACACAGCAGAACTTCACTCATTATACGAAAGGAAGACTCCACGGTCTTGCATTTTGAGTGGAGGTGCAGAGAAGGAAGGAAGGAAGGTGACACGGACCTACTATGTGCCAGGCACTATGCTAAGTGCTTTACAAACATTACTTGATTTGATCCTCACAACCACCCTGGGATGAAAGTGCTATTCTTTCCATTTTACAGCTGAGGAAACTGAGGCAAACAACTTGCTTAAGGCATAGGAAGTATCTGAGGCTAGATTTAGCTTCAAGCCTTCCTGATGCCAGGCCCAGCCACCTATCTGATATACCAAACACATGACACGCAAAAAAAAAACAAACAAACAAACTCAACTTGGTTTGTGGCAGAGTCCTAGAAGAAGACAATTCCCGACAAACGAGAGAAAGCGTTTCATTAGGTGTTATGAGGACAATTCCAAGATAAAGGGATATGTCCTTGTGCTAAGCAGCCTACACCCACATTACACGGTCCACTCTGCCCCTCGTGTATTTCAATGCTTCCAAAATCTATCTACACATACAGACATAATACCTATACATACATACATATTTATAGTTATCTACACATACATGTGTATGTAACTAAAGCTATCTCTACATATATCTATATATCTATATCTATACATTATATGTATATGTATTTGTATACGAACGTATATTCATATGGGTATGTATGTTTGTCTATCTATCTACCTAAATATCTATCTTCATTGTTTGATTCTCACGCCCACGGTCTCATCTTGTCTATCTCTTTCTCTCTAAGTATTATATATGTATGTGCAGAAATATATCTACCTACATATAAATGTCTATATACATATTTAAATCCATATAGCTACATCTCTCTTTCTAGGTGTATGTGGTGTGTGTGTGTGTGTGTGTATATAGAGACAGAGACAGAGACCGAGAGACAGAGAGAGAGGCAGAGAGACAAAAAGAGAGACAGAGAGATCCTGGGCATGAGACTGTAAGGACAAAGCAACCCAGTGAAATGGGACACACAACAATGATTCACAAGGTCTATCTCATAGGAGGAAAAAGACCCCAGACTGAGCAGGTAGGTGAGGATCCTGAAATATCATCCTATTTGTGGAAACTTAAATTTTTGCCCTCTCCTCCCCACTAGCATCAGACAGGTAAAGGCCGATGGAGTCACAAGGAGAAGACTACAGCAGGCTGCCTAAAATGGCAGGGAGTTGTTATTTAAGGACTGTTAATCAAAATTCTTTAAAGTCTCCCCTAGCCTCTGCCTCTGTCTCTCTTGTCTCTGACTTTCTCCGTCTCTCTCTTTTTCTTTTGATTTTGAAAAAAAGTAAAACTCTCTCTCTTCCCACCCATTAGCTAAATGGCTGCCCTCCTCCCAGAAAACATGAAGCAGCCAGGGAAACACGCCATTTACAGCCACCATCAGTGTTTTGACCAGCTGAACGGCAACCCCCAAGACTGCCGTGCTGAGTCCTCCATGCAATCCCACCTGTGACCTACAGGTGTCAGCGTCTGCATGGAGAGGCAAGCGATGGGGCAGCTGGCTCCAGGACTCAGACGCTGTCTGGGCTGCCTAACCTGAGCATGTGGGAATAATATATGTCTTCAAGTGAACTGTCTGGTTCTCGGGAAATAAAATAGGACATTCATAAGCAGTTACACCATCTGTCTTTATACCATCATCATCAACAACAAGGGGAAAAATAGCTCTTTAAAATGGATGGAAGCCCGGGTTGACAGTAACCGGAAAACTGTGAGCTATGAATACCAATAAAGGCAGAAAAATGATTAAAAAGCAAAGATACAAACTACAGAATAATCCAGTCAGCGCCAGGGCCCGCACTGTCTTGCAGGGAAGGTGTTTCTGTTTTTGTTTTTAACTCTCCCAAGGATAAAGAAAGCCCTTCAGTGAGAGCCAAGCCGGAAATTCACCGGACTTTGGGGTCAAGGGCTCCCAGGCTGGCTTACCCTGAAGGAGGGTCTCTCATTTTCCCTCCTTTGAGTCAAATGGCATGAGGGTACAGGCAGGAAAGAGTCTATTAGAAGGATAAGATGGAATTAATCCAGTTTTTAATTTGGAGAGAGGCAGAAATATTGCTATTCGTGGTTCCGTTTTTAGAAACGTCCGTGGGACAGACATAATGATTGAGTACCAAGCAGAGCAAGATCTTTTCTTGGGCCAGGAAAGAAATTT